AAATCTAAAACTATCTCGAAACAGGGATTCTAGCTAAACCGTTGTATTTAAAGTTCTATTTGCGCAGGAAAGTTAATTCTATGTCAAAAGGTGGAGGTAGTAGATGAGCAAATGTGGACAGGTAGTTGAAGAGGGTGGGGGACGGTGTGTGAACGTACATACATATGTACATCTATATATACACATACATACACACATATATAGTACCCCCAATGATCCTGCGCCTCCTCATAAAATACTGGAAAATGCAGTATTTGTGAGCGTTGCACCTGCCTTTGTGTACCTCCTGGAAAGGGGTCAACATGAGCATAGCTGACATGAAGCTCACCAAAAGCACTTGAAAGTTTGTCTAACCACAAACTTGAAAGTGTGTCCACTGGATCGCTAAGCGCTTGAAAATTTGCTACTATCGGATGGAAGATTCAATATTGAAGATTACACAGAACACTTTCCTGAGAATTGTCAATCCTGGCCAAACCCAAATAGCATTCAAGTTCTTCTAACACTTGAAAGTGCTTTACCACTGGATTGGGGATCAATATTGAGGAGCCCACAAACCACCACTTTCCTGAGAATCATCCATCCTGGTCAACCCCTAAAATGTTCAAGTTGTTCTATCACCTTGAACATCCGTTACCACTGGATTGAACTATTTCACGGAAAACTTTTCCGAGAATCTTATTGAACACCGAGAGTATTGGGACAACCCTGGAATTTTTAAAACTTTTTAAAAAATATGGGATTCAAGATTCAAGATTCAAGATTCCCAGAAAATAGTTTCTCACATTCTTGAATCTTGAATCTTGAATCCCGGAATTTTTAATAATTTTTAAAAATGTCTGAGTTGTTCTTGTATTATTGGATGCATTCAAACTCTCTCAGATTGCAGGTGCTGATGTCATTGCTTTTATCACATCTGTATGCATGCATGCGTATCATATACATGTACGACCCTCCCCCCAATTTTGACACAAATCCAAGAAGCAAAAAGAAGCATAAAACACTGGAAAATACAGGTCAACCGCACCAAACCAGGGTCCATGGGGGGGGGTACCATATATATATATATATATGTATGTATATTTGTATTTGCCGAAGGTGGTTGGTGTTTTGCTCCTTTTGCACATGGATACTTGTAGTTTTCAGATCACCATTGTGTATTTTCTTGTGGGGTGTTGCAGCGCGCGTTCAACTTCTCTCGGGGACTCGGTTTGGTTTCTTGGTTTTGTCGCATACTCGTAGCGGCGCTGCTGCTGAAGCCAAGCTGGTGAAAGGCAAAGGGTCTTGTGTGAGATCCATGAGGCATCGTCCACCCCACAGGAAGACAGCAACGCCATCTGAGCAGCGAAGCCGTGACGTGCAAAGCCCCAGGCCCCACTTGCCGAGAACGCATGGCCAAAATCGGTCCCCCAGGGTCGACCAAGGTCGGAGTCACGCCCACGTGCAGCTAGCCACCAAAAGTCTTTGGGCCGACGGCTTGGCTCAGTGGCTCGCTTGGTTCCAGGCATGCCGGAGGGGCATGCAAGCCGAGCAATCCCGTCAATTGGAATGTTTCGGATGGACTCGCTGCAGCGCTTTTTTCCACGACCACTGACTGTCGCCTGAAGGTTAGACAGGTTCCCGATGTGTGAGAGAACGTCAAAGAGCCGCGCTTTAGCTTGACGCGCGCGCGCGCAAAACACACTGACACACCCACACATACATGGACACCCTCACGCGCACCCGCAAGCGCAAGGGCAAGCGCACGCACACGCAGACGCAGACGTGCTTGTACAAGCTCATGTCTACGCACACGCGCACACGCAAATGCACAAGGACGCGCAAACGCACATGCCCACATGCCCACCCGCGCGCCCACACACACGCCCATGTCCACGCATTGCAAAGTGGACTGCAAATGATGCATATCGAAACACCAGGCCCTGAACACCATGCTGCTCACGTGGTCATTGTCGTAAGCCGCTGTACCAGCAACTTGACTTCTGGTGCCTGCCCTCGTCACAATCGCCACACAGCCTTCCCGTTGGTTTTGGCACAGGCTTTTCCAACTTGCCTGAAATGGATGTATCATATTTCTCATTTAGACAACTCGGCAAGGCTTTGGAATCTCAACAGCGGTCCTTCCCCTGGCATTTGCATGTCACAGGCACAGCAGGACACCAAGGGAGCCGCCGCGGTGCTGCGCAGCCTTTGGCAGGAGCTCTCTGGAATTTTGTGCGAGGGGGGGGGCTCGAACGAATTGATGAGTTCCAAGGACAGCTGGGGAGGCGCACGGAACCTTGCCGCTGGTTTCATTTGGCCGAGAAACGTATTATTTCCTGTCGGAGGGCGTGGTTGCACTGGAATGAGCCTTTGCTTGTAGCTTCAGGGGACATTATGTATTTTGGAGGGGAGGGCTTACCCGTTTTGTTGGCTAGGAGGGGGATCCTTTGGCTCAAAGCTTGCAACGAGGATGCCGGACAGGGACGTGGCAGACCCTGATAATTTTTATGGATTTGGATGTGGGCCAGGTTGCGAGCCCATGTTGAAGCCATGCTTTTGTCAAAAATTGCTGAAAAGGGAGTTCCATGATGTTTGCTTCCAGACCAGAGCGGGGTCGGTTTCGATTCGGGCACTCCACCTGATTCTGTGCAAAGCTGCCGTGTGCTGGCAGTGTTTCCACTTGGGTGCGGACGTTCCGGCCTAAGCGGAGAATTGTATCGTATTTGTCAGGCCACCATTTTTTTTGTGTCACGGCTGGGGGCAATATTCGGTGGGTTCACAACTCCCTCGTTCAATGGCAATGCTTGGGCAAGAGGAAAGGTCCATCTCACGATTTCTGTTTGGTCATCCTTCATTTCCGGCCACCGGAATATGACAGTTTGGCTTTGGGTTCAGGCAAGGCTTCTCCAAGCAACCCAAGCCTCTTCGCTAAAAGCTCAGTTTTTCCGCTGCCATGACCTTCCCGACGACCAGTTCCTGAGCCCCGAAGGATGTTGCGAAGTCACAGAAGGACGAGCCAGGGGCCAAGTCGGCGCGCAGTTCGGGTCCCCGCTGAACTTGAGTCACCCGGGTAGATGAAGTAAGGGAAAGTCCCAGCCAGAAATAGTTGCGGATACTGGCTTCGTAATTCTTGGTTCTGGGTAGACCATTTTAATACCGGGTTTTGATTGTGACTCACCTTAGTCCGGATGGACAAGCCCCGATGTACGCCTTTTGAGAACTGAGGGCGTGAACAGTTGCTCCTTGACCGCAAGAACAGTCGCTTGCTCTTTTCTTGGATGACAGCCATGTCAAACACACGATTTTGCACTAGACAAGAAAGGACGGAGTGGCACTTGATGTTGGATTGTCGCAGCTGCGCACGAGTTAGAAAAGCTTGGGTGTTCTTTGGTGAAGCATCACGGTGACTTGGCAGCCGCGAAAGGCAGGACGGAGGGAACACCAAAGCAACCCCTACAACTCTCTGCATGGCCACAGCATCTCTTGGGCTACTTTTGCCTAACCACTACAAACTAGTCGCAGTCGCTTTTGGGTTTGTCTGAAGATAGCGGACCCTCAAAATTGGCGAATTCGGGTTGTCTGAAAATATGGGACCCTGAAAAATTGGCGAATGTTCTCTTGTCTCCCTTTAACGCCACTTCAAAAAACGTATTTTGCTAAACCAAACAACAGGTACGGCCACATTGCCCGCTTCCGGCTCTGCGTGAGCTTCGCCTCGAGGCTCCTGGAAGCCTTCGATTTGTGCAGCGCCTCCGTGCTGCAGCCTGGGGCCCGGGAACAACCGACTGGGGCTTTTTGGTTTGGATAGAGATGGCTGGAATCATGGAGCCCATGCAACCCTTTGTGACCAGCACCAGAAGTTACTGCAAGAGGCTGGGCTTTGGTGGACTTTGTCCAAACCTGATGTACCCATCGACAAGGGGTGTGTGAGAGTTGTGGCGCTTGGAAGAGTGAGCTGACAGATTGCTCAGCCATTTGGCCTTCAGTTGCCTTCAATTTCTTTCTACAGAAGAAACCCCGGCTGAGGACGAGTGCTGTTTGGATATTGATACAGCTTGTCAGGAGCCGTTGTCATGAGAGTTTTGCACATCGGGCAGAAGCTTCCTTCCAGTGTCCGTTCAAAGCTGAACTTCAACGTTCTTAGCGAAAGGGTTTGCATGTGGAAAAGCAAGGGAAACAGTTGTGACACCCTTGGTTTTGTGACTGCTTTTACAAAGTTGTTCAATTCCACGAAGCGGTCAGGACCCTACTCACCGAAATGCGCATGCCCGCCGCAGCGGACCGCACGAGTGAGCATTCGGCATGATCCACAGCACGTGCGGTGGCCACGTAGGTCAGCGAGCGACAGCCGGGTTCCGCTCGGTTTGGCAGGTGACGGAATGTGGTTTCAGCTACACGCAGAGAGGGAAGGCACGGGAAACCATCAAAAGCTGGTGTCTTCTTGCCAAAGTTGTTTCTCCTATTGATTTTTCACAGGAAACTGCCTCAAAGGTGGTTGGTGGACAGGAGTCCTCACCTACATGTTGTCTACCAAAAGGTTCCCAATTAGAAATCCACGCCCAGACTACTGGATTTGCTGCGCGTTTTAGTGCCGCGCGCACCTAGCCGCGCCTTTGGACGTTGCCAGCTCAAGTCAAGATGACAAATCAATGTGTGTGTTGAGGGTACCCTTTTCTGGTTGGTTTGAAAAGGCAACCACAGGGAACCACCATTTATGTGGGTCCCCTATTTTAGACGCTCCCAAATCATGCCGCTAAGTGACACAGCGACAACATTGACATCCAGTGCTGTTTTGTATCGATTTGCTATCAGGGGGGTTCAGTGCACACGAGCTGTACATTGATCCTTCAAATTTGTTTCAGGGCTTAGCTTGGCAGGCCCGGAGTGGCTGGCTCTGAAGCAAGCTGTCTTTGATTGTAGAAATCAAGGCTGACTTGGGAACGCTGACAACCCCCTGCTTGGAGGCAGATGCCTGAGTTGTTGCGGGCTCCACCAACAAAGATTCTTTCTTACTCCTGTCGCGAGCTGTGGCAGTTTGCCGTCTTGCCACTTTCGGGTTGACACGCTTCCGAGCGCGCGCCATGGGCGCGCTTCTAGTGCTGTTGCTGCCGGTGGTGTCAGACGCCGCCATCTCAGTGCTGGCGCACCAGCCGGGGAACCTTGTGACGCGGCAGAGGCTCCGTCTGTTTGCGTTGCTCCCGAGATACTGGAAAAAACAGCTTTTTAGCAGCTCAACGTGCAGAAACAAGTGGGCCAACGCTTGTAGGCTACAACCAAGCAGAGTTCATCAGAGCACATGGTCAAGCTTGTGGGAAAGCTGTGAACAGCCGGTAGCCCGCTGCCAGACGTGGAATGACACGCATGGCTGAACTGCTCTTGAGTTCAGCCAGAATCATATCCTTGTCGTTTTGACCTGATGGATCCCTCCCACACTTCTCTTAGCAAACACGGTATCCGCAGATCCGTATGCACTTTTGACATATGGTCCAAAGGTCCTTTGAAAGGGCCTGCCATGGGAGCATGCCCTGATCTTCGTAAGACACGAGCCACATAGAAGCTGTCAGGCCTATCATCAAGCCAGTTTTTGTTCGGCTGAGCTTGGGTGTTCTCTCAAAAGTCAGGGATGCTGGAATACCTTCTCTCTAATTGGCCAAGGGCAGGGGAGGCTCGCGGCTGGGAAGGTGGGCCGATTCAAAGGGCATGTCGCAAAGGCAAGAATCAGTTTGTCACAATCCAGTCCCTGCTTTCTGGCTGTCAGCGATCTGTCCATGCCGAGGTACTGAGACTGCGGGACCACATTGCCACTTGACCGATGGGTTTTTAGCCCTGGAAGGATCCATGGTTTATGTCCGATGGCCTTGTCCGGTTACCCTGACCGGTGCCAGTAGTCGAAGCTCCCGAGCGTAGGAGATGGCAATCAGCCATGTGTTGCACTCAACTGGGCTGTTCTCACGCCTTCATAAAAGCAACGTTTCCGTTCTCAGGAGTCGTCTGATGAATTCCCTCACTTTGAGGCGAAGCTAACAACTACTGCAGTATCAGAAGCGACTCATGATTGAGCTGCCGGCAGTTTAGAGGCAACCTGCGATTTTCCCAGTTCACAGGTTCTCTACCCATGATCACTTATCGGGGTATAAGTGAAGGATGAGGGTGGTCCTTTGTGAAGCCTTGCTAACCTATTCAAAACGTGGGAGGGAAATGAGGCCCAGCAACCGCGCAACTGACCCTCCATATGAATGCTGATAAGAGACAAGTGGGAATTGCCCATCCTCTATGAAAGGTTTGTTGGGCACAGGGCTGTATGCCAAACAACGCGGCATGGATAAACAGAAGAAAAACAATGTGGATGAGGTGAGCTGCTAACGTGGGCGAACCTGATTTGTAGTCCGACGTGACTTACTTACATAGTCCATGGAATCAAACTGCCGTGACTGCCTATGTCACCACAGCCATACCAAGACATGAAACACATTGAAGGCTTGCTCTCCGCCCATCGTCTTGGCGGAACACATGCTCTCAAGCGTTTATTTGGATGTTTTCCGTTTGATGTTCTCAAGACAAGCTTATTTTGTTGGCGGGTCCCTTCCGCCTTTTGTCGTCCCATGCATTTTAGCAGTTCCCCGCGCGAAGGCAAACAAAACAATCTGGAAGGCAACTACTGGTATCATTTGTGAAGTGGCAACGGCTTGTCCGTGTCCTTCTCCGACCAGCCTCCTGAAGCATGGTCAAGACACTATCACCAGGAGAAACTCGCTCGTGTTTGAAAGGGATCATTGCCAGTTGAACACTCCATCATATCAGGTGGCTTTGGCTTGGCTGACCTCCGCATCGTGATCCAAGAGGCTCCTGCACGGCTGCGGTTTGCCAAGAACACTTGGCCTTCGCGCCTTTTCCGAAGCTTTTTTTCGAGGTCGTGGACGAGCGGGAGCTGGTGGCCGCCCGCTCCTCAAAACGCGCGGTCTGCTCCTCGCTGCAGGGGCCCTCCTGCCGCGATGCGGAGGCGGCGCTGCTGGTGGACGGCGTGGTGTCGCGGCGGCTGCGGGAGGCGCATCCGGAGGCCGGGCTGGAGGGATGCGTTGGGATCAGCTGAGCCACGTGCTCAAAACCCGCGGAGATGAAGGGTAAGGGGCAGTCCCAGCCAGAAATAGTTGCGGATATCCGCCTTAATTCTTGAAGCATGGTTCTGGGATTGCGACCATTTTAATACCGGGTGAGCTTGTGACTCAGCGGCCAACGGCTGGTTGGGCCGTTGCCGTTAGGCGCCTTGGCCTCTAGTACCCGAGGCTGGCGCCTCGCGCCCTGAAGAGATCGAGCTGAGTTTGCCCAAACGCACAATTAAACCAACGGCCACTTTTCGATTGGTTTCAAAGGGAACCTATCACTACGGAACTTCATTTTTTGGATAAAAGAGACTTTTTTTTTACTTTTTCTTTTTGGGAGAGACTTGAGCAAATGCAGCATTGTCACAGCTGGTAGCAGACGCCTGCGATTCCCCGCGCCAGGCCTTTCTTTGGGACTTTGCTCGCAGCTCGGCGTGTGCTGAGCCCGAGGTGCCCCGAATTTGGAGCCTTCGAGGGGAAGCATGTGGCAGGTGGCCTCCCGCGGTTGGGTTAGATGGTGGCCACCAAGGCGCCATCCTTCTGCGCGTGTCCGGTGGGTTTTCAGGTTTCAGAATGAGAATCAGATGCATGCGGCATTTGTAAACCGACTCTCGGTGTCTGCAAAGCAACTGGTACATTGATGAGGAAGACATTCCGCGCAGGGTCCGCAAGTGGATGACATTCAGGGTGGCTGCCGCAAGCCAAGGGCCGTTTTCCCTTAGCCCAAGAGCATCTCCTTACCACTCCAACAACACTTCCAGCAGATCTCGAAGTCCACGTCCGACCACAGCCGCACAAAACACCCAAACGCCGGCCCAAGCGGCGCCCAAGCGGATTTGGGTGAAACCCTCAGGCGATCAGAAGGTGGCGATCCTGGTGTCCCAGCTGATCCAGCGCCTCTCGGAAGGCCCGGCACAACATGAGTTGCCCCCACCTGCGCCTTGTCCACGGGGGCCCTTGGCCCTTTCATTTGTGCAAGTGGATCGATTTGCACGGCCACTTTTGGACAGGAGCTGATTGGTGCAGAAAACACGCTTGGCTGCAAGGATGCCCTTGGTCGAACAATGCTGTGGCTGAACAATGCTTTGGCCTTTGCTTCTCTGTCTGCCTGTCTGTCTGCCTGCCTGCCTGCCTGCCTGCCTGCCTGCCTGTCTGTCTGTCTGTCTGTCTGTCTGTCTGTCTGTTTGGTTGTTTGTTTGTCCGTTTGTCTGTGTCTCTGTCCTTGTCTGTCTCTGTCTCTGTCTCTGTCCGTGTCTGTGTTATTTTGTGTTGTTTCTTTAATGTGGCTTTCTTCTCGGGCTTTCTCTGTGTGTCATACATGAATGTGTGAGTATGTTAATATGCGTTCCTTTTGTTTTCCGTGCGTGGCCTTGCGTGGGGTTGCGTGGCGTTGCGTGGCATGCCGTGCGGTGCGGTGCCGTGCGGTGTGGTGCGGTGCGTTGCGTGCGTGCGTGCATGTGTGTGCGTGCCCTGCCACTGGAATGTGGAGTGCTCTCATTCAAGGCCCGTTTCGCGCTTTGCGCGGTGAGCTTTGCGCCCAGACTGCCTCTGGCAGATGCCCACCGCATGATCAGAAGTCCGCACTAAAATCAAATCTAACCGAGCTAAATCAAATCTAAAAGTAACTTCAGATGCCTACCGCGTGGAAACTTCCTCGGAAGCCTCTGTTGTGTCTCGTAAGTCGCGAGTTTCAGATCCTTTTGGGGGACTGTCAGGTGCCAATCGGAGCAGTTCCTCCAGGCTGAGCAGCTGGGAGGGGGGGCTGCATCCAAGGGTTCTGCCATGGATCCCTTTGAAAGGAAGACTCGAGATGTCAGTGGCTTCACTTTGTCCTGTCCAGTTTGGGTTGTAGCAACAAAGAAGGGCAAGAGTATTTTTGAAGCATGGAACTGGTGGCTCAACAAAATGCTGATTTGAATTCTCTCCAAGCAAAAGAGGAGCACATCTATTTTCCCGTGGTGGCTTTGCAGGCAACGCCATCTTCTGGCGTGTCTTGTGCCGGGGAGACGTCCAACCCTCATCCGATGCCCAGGGGCTCCCACGGTGCAAGTTACACGCACTGGGGTGGGGGTGCAAACACAAGACGACCAGAAGGTGGATGCCTTTCCGGAGCACGTCTGTTTCAAGGGCTGCATACTGGCTATCTCTGCATCGACCCCTCGGAGTCCGAGTTGAGACAAGATAGTGTGGGATAAAGAATGTCTGGGATTGAGGACGAACGAAGGGAGTGAGCGAGAGAGAGAGAGAGAGATTTGTGTGTGAGTAAGATATTTTCACGGCGTAGAATGCTTCCAGGAGTTAATCCGGTGGAAGAGATTCCAAGATCCTGTCGTCTCTTCCCTTCTATCACTATATCATTGGATGGTAAGTTGGTGGGCTGGAGGGAAGGTTCTTGTCTTTCTATTCCATAGCTTTTCCGCAGTTTTCAAGGTTTTGGTGTTAGGATGAGTACATGCGAACAAGAGAACACGGATTCCGCAGAAGATGAACCCACTAAGCCTCTAGGAACGAAAGAAGCGTTCCACCCTTAGACATCTTCACTATAGACATCTAGTGATTTTTGGCCTGGCTTTCTATTTTTTCAATCTCTTCATTTTTTCCATTGTGTTTTTGTCCGCTGTTTTACGGTGTTCGAGCAGTTGGAACGTGGGACTCGGGTCGGTTGTGTGAGACCCTGGTGCTTGGCAGGCCCGGGGAGACGGTCTTGGGTGCCTTCCTGCAGCCGTGGCTCGGAAGGGTCTGTGGCTTTCGTGCGCGTTTAGTTGGGGGGTGGTCTGGTTCATTCCATGTTAGGCTTGCGTTGGGTCCAGTTGGTTTGTTTCGCGTTTGGGTCACTTGGGTTTGATTCGCGCCGATCAGTCTTTTTGTTGTTTCTCTGGTTCTCAATTTGGTGCTCCGCACACCCAGCCTCGCATGAAAGAGCGATCGTGCGCGTGCCGCCCTTTGGCCGTATTTGAGACTCCCCAAACAACACCGGAAGTAGACCAACAGAAGCAGCCCGCAAGATCCACACGAACTGCAAAATCAGTGCCGCCTTTGTGCTTGTGTCCATTGGTACAAAAAGGAGACCTGCAAACGTATGCCTGCTCCTTGCTTGTTGCCGACTGCCGGTTGCTGAGCAGGGTTGGGCAAGCTGGTTTCGAAGAGCCACGGCAGGGCGACCAAGGAAGCACCACGTTTCAGCAAAACATTTTTCACAGACTGCGCACGAATTGAATGACAGGATGTGGGACATCACTTTGTTGCGAAATGGGATCTTCTAACTTGTCTTTTGCGCACATTTGCCCAACACCGACCTTTGGACCTGTTGGTTTTCCGTTCTTGGCAGCGGTTTTTCGTCGAGGTCCCAAACGGTGATCACTGGCCCGTGCGGGAAACCTGGGATATCTGGATACTTTCACTTGCTGGTTCTCAGGGAACGAGGGGATGACCCCCAAGAAGCATCTTTTGGGATTTCCTTGCGCGCCCCTAGCTCATTCCCAAGACCCCGGTTAGAGAACCATGTTGAGGGTAAATGGACACGGGTTTCCTTTGAGAATCAACTTTCCAAGCAAGAATTGGAGGAGGTTCCGTTTGAACATCGACTATCCCCCCCAAAGATGGAGGGGGTTTCCCTTGAAAACCCACTTTCAACCGGATGTCCTTCTTTCCGGAGGGGGTTGCTCTTGAACATCCACCGCAATGATCACGTGCTTTTGCCGCGTGCTTTTTCGGTCACCCCTTGTTTGGCAGGAAAACCAACAAGAAACAAACACAACAAGACACTTGGTGCCGTTCGCCTCAAAAAGAAACACCCCGACTCCACAGGGTTCGCGGGGGTCCTCAGCAGAGAATGAGAACAGGAATGACCCTCAACCATCCACTGGTGGCTTCCTTTTCTGGGAATCTTTGGGTTCATTTCATTTCATCTTCCCTGAGCTTGTTGGGTACTACTGTGGATGGACGAAATCCTCCACCACCGAAGAAACCCTGGTTTCTGATGATTCCCTTGTAAATACCAACAAACGCTATGGTTTCCACCATGGTTTCAAAGTGGTGCGAAACGGATTTCGTCCATCCACAGCAGGAAACCAGCGGGGTCAAGCCGGTCGAGGGAAGCGTCGAAGCGGAAGCGCGCTGGAGGCCGCGGAGCCGCTGCTTCGAGCTGGAGACCTGGCGGCTGCCGCCCTTCGTGCGGTTCCTGCCAGAGAAGTTCGGCGCCGGGCTGCCGCCCCGTGGCCCCGAAATTCGCTCGGGACATTTGATCGGGGGGTCCGACTTCGGGTTGGAGGCGGAAGGGAGTCGACTTTGGGGTAGGTGTTCTTTCTTCTTTCTTTTTTTTTTGGAGGGGGAGGGGGGGAAGGTTTGCGCTTTTTGGAGGGTAGCCTTTGTGGGGCTGGGGTTCCCGCCAAGCTCCAGGGCAAATGGTACCCTTTTGGGGTTGGTTGGGGAAGCCAACAGGAGAGGGTGCACGTGCACATGAGGCCCCCCCCCCCCCCCCCGAGGTTTTGAGGACTCCACCTTATGAGTCACACAAGCACCCTGGAATCGCATTTGTCTTTTCTCTCTTACAATGCCGTATGGGCTGAGGCTTCAGGATTGGGGCCGGAGGCCGGAAGAGCAACATTTACTATCACCTCCATCAGCCGTCAGAGTTGTCAGATGGACTGCTTGAGAAGAGCTCCGGTGCCATGATATCGGTCTGTTGAGGCTATGGGGCAATTGCCGCCATCTCTGTGCAAATCAATGTCTTGTTTTCCACAACAGCAATCCTTCATGCGACCTGGGACACAATGCCTGGTCCGGGGCCCAGGGCCGATACCGAGCCCCGGTGGCACGGGGTGTGGCGGCTCGGATGCAAGCGGGGGGGGGGGGAAGACGTGGTCCAAGCGCCATGGTTTCTTTGCGGTCCCTCTGTCTTGAGTGGTTGGGCTTGGCCAGCTGCAAGAACCTGCGTTGACTCCAACTAAATTAGCATCGACGATGGATAGTTCAATCGACGCGGATGGATATGCAGTGTTACATGCCTCAAACTGCCTACCCGCTGACGGATGGCGCTTGCCATGAGGCACGTTTCTCTTGTGCAAACGTCTCGTTAGGAGCGCCCAATTTTTGGGTTGTGAACTTTAATGGCGGATGTGGTGGACATCCTTTGGTTGGGGATGGTGGGGATGTATTTTCCAACCATTTGTGAGGTGGTTCTCTAGTAAAGGAGCTGGGTCTCCAGTACTGTGGACTTATGGACTGAGCCAAGGCAAGATTTGGCAAGGAGAAACGACCGGTCAAGCAACGGACGGTGTGAAGGAGGTTGCCAAACATGCCAAACATCGGGGCTCCCAAGATCACGATGTAGCCCGATTCCTGATTCGACCATGTCTTAAATTGGCACACCAATTCGCCACCCAACAAGTGCAGCTTTCTTACGGAAAATTCGGATCTACGTTGCAAAGGTGGCAGACCACAGTTTGCACACCAGTGCTTGTTGGCAACGGAATCATAGAGCCAGGTGCACAAATCTCTTCAGATGGCAACTGAGGCATGTGGTGAGATGCCCTTACCCCGCCACCCCGGCGAAAAAGGTGTATCTCGGCGCGGCTCGGCGAAACATGCTGTGGTCACAAGGGACCTTTCCACAGTGTCTTTGTGCTGGTTTTCTTGTAGCTTTCTGTTCGATTCAATGGCCGCACAAAAGGGCTCCCTGTTTTTGTGTCGTGAGGGAGAGCTGTTTCGAATGCCTTCAGCACACCAAGCCATCGCCACAGAGATCAGGACGGAGAAGGGTTGCAGTTCCCAATAACTTTGAAGGCTGGCCGCCGCATTTGATGAATCATGGTTTGTTTGCTTGCTTGCGTTCTTCTTGTGTTTGCATCCGTTGATTGCTTCTTTTGTCTGTTTGTTGGCTTGTTTGCTTGGTTGCTTGGTTGCTTGGTTGCGTGCTTGTTTGTTTGTTTGTTTGTTTGTTTGCTTGCTTGCTTGCTTGCTTGCTTGCTTGCTTGTGAAGGAGGTGTGAACGGGCCGGCGCTGGTTTCTTTGTCAGAATAGCTGAGACTCGGGAGAGTTTTGGTGCATTGAACCTGTCTGCTGCAAACGCTGCTGCCACAGGCAATTTGTCCAGATACGCTTTTCAGAGTAAGGAGGTGGCTATCCCCTTTACATTCGCTATATGTAGGAACAATGGACGTTTCTTGTCAGTATTTCATTGTAAAGTCCGACAGACTTCCGCCCATGCTGTCGGTTCCTCAACCTTGCCAGAGAATTGAAAGCCACTTGGTGGGGAGACCCCTGTCCCATTAACACATATCTTGTCCAGAGACAGGTCTTGCACGTTTCCGGCCACAACAGCGCAACACACCTGCACCTATGACAAATAAAGAAGCTATCTAAACATCTATATCATAATCACACATACTTATATATATATATAATCTAGAAGCGTATATAGATATCTGTGGTTTAGTTGTGATACCATTTGGGAATACCCTTTGAAGTGAAGTCGTCATGTGAATCAACTGCTCTCGTATCACAGACAGCGGCATCCATGTATTGGTCCAGCATTGCTCTCGCACGATCATGAGGTAATCTTGTTAACAATACCCCGCAGCCCCATTCCAAAGGTTCAGGCTCTTATAGTATGCACGGACATTTGGATGTGTGTCAAAACAGGAGGACCCTAATTTGTGTGTGTGTGTGTGTGTGCGTGTGTGCGTGTGTGTTTGTTGCGGATACCCTTTCAATCTTGGTTTGAAGGGAACACGAAAGCAAACAACCACCCCCATTGGTCCAACTTCGTCTGACGCCCCCGTTGTCTCCTTCTTCCCTTGCATGTCAGGTGAAAGCACCACAACCCAGCCATTTTCTGAGAAACCAGCCCCAACCCCATTTTTCATCCGGGAAAACCGCTGGTTGGGTTTTGCGAACCCCATTTTGCATTCGGCCCAAAAGGCGCCAACCACAACCAGGTCACCCCTGCCAGTTCCTGGGGAAAAAAGCAGAAAGACGGTGTCATCCGCCCCTTCCGACGGTCCACCCGCCCCCCAGCTGCGCCTTGAGCGCCAGGAGGCCCTGCTGCGGCGGGGCTGGTGCCTGCGGCTCTTCGGCCGCGGTGCGAACCGCAGCGCGGCGCTGCGTTTTGCTCGGCCGCTGGTGCTGCGGCGCCTGGTGCTGGGCGTCACGGCCGGAGGCCCAGAGCTGGCGGCGAGAGGAAGCACGCGGCGAGAGAGCACCTTTTTTTTTCTTCATCGTTTCTTGTGGGTTGTTTTTGTGTTTGTGTTTGTATTTGTTGTTTTCCTTCCTTTTTTTTTTTTTTGGGGGGGGGGGTGAGTTTGGAATTGAAGCCACCCGTGATGGTTGTTTCCATGTTGTTGCAATAGAACCGCGGGCAGTTTGAGTTGTTGCTCCCTTTGGCCAGTTGAGGTTTGGAGAAAGACATATCAAACAATGTTCATTGTTTAGCAGGAAGACTCAAAAAGAAGTTGACAGCGCTTGTCACATTGCTGCTGAACAATGCTGGTGCGGAGAAGACAGTTTAACATTTATATGAGGAACCTGCCTTTGGAGTCGTTCTACCTAGCAGGTGAACGTGAAGACATCTCCATGTCCTGCTCGCCAAACATTCTAAAACCCATCCACTTTCAAGCAATAGTGGAGCTTCCACCCTGCTGTTCTGTCAAGCTCGGCCTTGGCCGCCAAAGCGTTCTTGAGCCATCCTTAGCACTGTCACGCCATAGTGTGTAAGACCTAGAAAGTGCAGGTTCGGAATGTATCCCATTCACAAACTTTGTATCAAATCAGAGACCCCATCTGCCAAGCCACCAAATGACGACCAGATGAAGGATCTGCCCATGACTCGTCCCTCCATGGCTGTAGGGAGCCATTCTGTACAACAAGCCGCCAACTCGTGAGTGGGTGAAGGAGTACACCTGGCATCACCAGCAGGCGCCGGCTCCGCCAATTTTTGGCACCGAGTGGTCAACTACCCCACGCCCCCGGAGGTATAACAAGGCAAGCTTCCCAGGATGTATGCAGCTACTAATGCTGCGTGCCATTCTGATTCGCAGGTTGGGGGTAACAAGCTCTCAACTCGAGGATTCTGTGGCCCGGTCTCCAGAGAGCACCTGGGGAGCAGGGAGCTTCGTTTGCGGCCACCTGCAGGCAGGACTGAGATCATTGGCTATTGCGGAAAGAAGCGTGGATTCAAGCGTGCCTTCCTGCAGATGTGCCTCCCAGATTTGTGGGTATTGCGCAGAGCATTCGTTGGGGGATTAGGCATTGAGGTTCCATAGAAAAGCCTTGCAACTTACCACTGATTCTTCTGTGAGGCGAAAATGTATGTCATGACAAATTGAGCTATTTCCTGACATTTGCACTATTTAGGCAACCTCGAGTATAGGGACAAACCGGAATGCGCAGCTCTCCTGCCTGCACAGTTGTTTTTTACCTAGAGAATCAAAGAGCCCTCATGCAGCGGGATACAGATGTGTGAAAGTAATTGGCACGACTTCCCCGTTTTGGTTTAGTCATTCCGTTTACTTACCCACATAAAGAAGATCATGCCATCTACTTTCGCCATGGCCCATGGCGTACTGTTGTCTCTAGCGAAGATATTGGAGAGCAAAGACATGCTCCACGGAAAGTGCAAGGCACCTTGATGTCTTTCAGTTTTGCGGCAACTCCTGCACACAATGGCACTGGCAGCAGCATATGACATAGACCGGAGCTCGATGTTTTGGAAGTTTCCCCGCATGTGTGTGCTAAACACACAAGCGTACTCATGGGAAATTATGCCGTTGTGCCCACTCGAGACAAGTGCCTGGGTCGACCTGAATGCAATTAAGTCCGTCACTGAATTTTCACGCGCTGTAGCATTTGAGCGCTTGGCCGTTTTTGCAATGCTTGGGGGTTTGAGCTATTAACACAAGCTCTGCCGAGCAGGTTCTGATGGCCACTTGCATGCTTTCATTGTGTTGGTGTCTCTCTTTTTTGTTGGGGGGAGGGGGGGGGGGTAATTTCGGCCATCCCCCTTTCCACAGATTCATCTGTTTTTGTGTTCTTGTCACCGCCCCCGTTGCGCCGCAGGGTGAGGAGACCTGGTGCCGAAGCTTGGACCAGGTCGCCAGAGATGCCAGAGCATCCAAGACCCTCGGGGCAGGCTGCTTGCGGGGCCGCTTGCGGGGGCCGCTTGTGGGGAAGGGCAGAACTTCTGAACTCATGGGCTGTTCGAAGACAAGTGGCCCTCGCGGACTTGAACTTGAAGGTTGAAGCCGCTCACGTTTATCCCGCAGCAGTCGATGGCACGCTGCCTGTGCCCATTCTTGACCAGTTTGAAAAAATATGGGCCTGGCAAGCCATGACTCTGAGCGGACATCGTTGCCGTATGTTTGCGGCCCAAGGGCTCGGTCGACCAAGGACCGCCGAGTAGTGCATTTCGGGCTTTTCCTTGGCGAACTCACTCTAGCGATAGCTGAAGTTGCCATCCAAGCGGTGTTGGGTTGAGGGCCGCTCTGGTTCAGAGCGGCCGGGGCTGGTTTCAAAGGGCATCGATGATGCAATGAATCACAAGAGAAGCAAGACATAGTCGTTGGCAAGCGCCTGGGCACTTGCAGCAATTGTTTGTTGGTTGTTGCGAGAACTGTGAGGATGCCATTAACCCTGGCCAGTGTTGGATACAGATGAGTGGTCCATTTGGCGGGGGTGGGTTTCTCTTTGGCTGTTGAACAAATGATTGCCTTGCATTCAACTCACGCGCGCAAAGTACTTCGTTCTGCTTCACTGGAAATCTGGAAGCGCTGATGCAACGGTTCTGACCTGCCTGCCGGCTGTTGGGTATTCTTTTTTTCCTTTGTCCGGCGAGCATATGCATAGATCCAGCAAGCCCCCACCCAGGTACCTGAATTGTAGGGTAGTGCAGTTTGTGACAAGTGGCAAGCTAAACTTAAGGTCCCATCCAGATGCCTGACTTTGGTTCTTGGTGTGTTGATTCTTCGAAGCAGGCTCGCGCAGTGAGTTAAAGACTCCGGACATAAAGCTATCCTTGATTTGGGGTTGATTGTTTTTCTCTTTTTCTTTGTTCTTGTTCCGCTGAAGTTAAAGTGCAACACCGTAGGTTGCCTTTTTAGGTTAGTTGAGTTACCAATAGATGGTACTGGTTTAGATTGGTTTGGTTCCATTTGCCGCCATTTTCTAGGGCCATCTATTTCTCCGAAAGGTCATCTATGTTCAATAATTGTCGCCAACAGCAAGCCGCCGAGTTCACCGAGTGACTTGGATCAAACAAACACATATTCATACATCGCTTTGCATGCCTACTATAAACTGGCCATCATCCAGGAGTATTTGTGCAGACCCGGTGTCTCAATCGGGAACAACGCCCGCTTTGACCAATGGGAGGTGATGCTTCTTTGCAAGGTGTCGCCTTCGTTGTGAGCTTTCGTGGGGACGGCCCTTGATTCGTTGAAGCAGATAAAGCACACTTCTTTACCGAACGGATATTTGGATGTGTGGAAGACGTGCGAGATAAACCCCGTGCGACTTTCTGGGAGGTTCTGGCACCTTCTACACGGACGTGGGGGACAGCCTCATGGAGGTCGACGAGGCCAGGGTGCTGCTGCTGCTGCTGCTGCTGCTGCTGATTTGCGTTTCAATGTTTGTGATTTGCTGTCTATTGACCGTGCAGCTAAGCGCCCTGTGGTGGTTGAAGAATGGGTCTCCTGCACTTCCGCCCTTTTCACTGGTAGCTTGGTTCTGGCAATACTGGAAGCCAACCTTGCTTCACAAAAGCTAGAGAAAGATGATGCAGCTGCACAATGATACAGGCCGTAATTCTTTTCCTGACAACGCTGAAAGAAGGGGTGGTGTAGGAGCCGCATGCACTGCATTTTGAAGGGGGATGGATGCTCAGACAATTTCAGACTTTGGAGCGACAGAAACAAGGTCACACCGCCGTGGGAAGGAAGTGGATTGAGAGTTGTGTTGGTGCCTGCTTGACACAGCGCTGGTTGAAACAGCAAAGCCTGGATCAGCCACACTTTGGCAAGAGATGAGTGGATGCCATGCTCTTCCATCTCCAGCACATGTTGCACCTCTGCTCCAAATCAATGTGTCAAACAACAAGCGAGCACAGGTAGACACCGAATTGGTGTATGTGCAGGACATGACAACAACATCCATACTGCCTCTATTTGCATATGACTACATGTGTACGCCGATATAAGATATTTGAATAATATTTGCGCATAGTTTTGCAGACATCGATGTCTATGCACTTCCGAGTGAAATGCGATGCTTGATGCCCGTGTTCAACCTTGCCCTTTCTCAGGTGTGACAGACTGAATCCTACAATTTCAAACTGCCCAGGTGGGGCGATTGTTCGAATTTGGATTTGCTTTTGTTTTGAGGGCAGACGTCTTCTTGGCCCGCCCGAAATTGTTGGTGAGCGCCCAACACCTGCTTGCGGGGCCTTTTAGTAGGTTCTACTTCCTGGCTCAACTGGGGTTCTCGTAAAGCCGAAATGGGTGTGTGTGTGTGTGTGCGTGTGTGTTTTTTGTTGTGAGGGAACCCTTTTGGTGTCCATTCTGGTGGAAAGCCGAAAAGAAAAAGCCCACCATCTTGCAAAAAGTTTTCCTAGAACAAGACACGCTCACACACCAAGCATGTCGTGTGGAACCGGAGAAGGTTCTTTTTTGGGGAAAACGAGGTGGTCTTCTCTTCCGTGCCGCTGGGCGGCCTGACCATCGCCTCCATCGCCGTGTCTGCCACAAAGCACTGGCAGCAAAGGCCGCAGCAGGAGGCGGCTTCCCGGGGCCATGGGGCCATGGGGCTGGAGGGGCGGTGGACATGGCGTGTCTTATGGTCGGGAAGCCCGGAGATGGGTGGGGTTTCACTTTGGAAGAACCCCTCCAAAACCGAGAAGGGTTTTTTTCCCCAAAGAAAACACCAATTTTTTGGCACTCGGGCGGTTGTCGAATTGAAGCAGACTACTCCAGTCATGCAACAGACCTTTCACAGAACTGCAGGCAGCAAGTTTGGGTCAAAGCGGAGTTTACGGGCTGAATAGGAAGGTTTTTGGTTGGAGGAAGGACACTTTGCTGTCACGATGCAGTCACAGCTGAAGAAGGGGCGTTCACTATTGGTCGGGATTGCCAGGATCTGCTAAGACACTCTGCTTGCTCCACTTCCAACCTATTTTATATGTCTTCAGGGTGTCTTCCTTTGCTTTAAGCGTCAGAGTTTAGGAGCTTGGGATGCAAAGAGGCGGGCGCGGCTTGCTTCATTCAGGCCGTGGATGCTCGGGCCCCGAAGGAAGGCGCTAGCTGGGCAGGTGGAAAATGGTGCCCTTGCATTGGGTTCTCGTTCTATGAGCTCCTTTGCAGTGATTCAGCACATGGCTCTCAAGCTGAGGCCACGCCGTGTCAGAACGATGTCGTTGAAGGATCCATACTTGTAAGCCAGCCAGTACCGTCAAATGCAGGAGAACCAGTTCGTCTAGGATCGGTCAAGGGAGGTGGAGTTTTGCTTTTTCAACAGCAGAGTTGCCCTAGTTCTTGGTCAGCTCGCACACAAGCGCTGGAGGGAGGGTACCGCATCATTTCTGCCGCTCGGCTGGCATATGCAGGTGGCAAGTCCAAATTTTCTTGCATTTGATGATCCTCCTGGCGAGTGGTATTGACTCTTGAAGAGCTTATTTCCTTAACACGACCTTTTGCTTCTATTGTACTTGGCAATCACATCAATATGTCCGAATTCCGTCACGCTTCCGTTTGGAGGGCTCGAGACTGTCGGGAAGACGGCGATGCTGCGAGGTGGTGCTGCTGCGTCGCCCGCTGGGCGACGGCGAGACAAAGCCGCCGGGGCTCTTCGAGGGCGTGCTGACGAAGATTTCCCCGGACGCGGCGCGCGGATGGGGGTTTCGCGCTTTTGGGGGGTGGGCGGTGAGGGTGTGTC